CAATCTTTAGTGTCACATGCTCCTTCAGAAATCATTCTAATATGCTGATTTGGTGCTCAAGAAACATTTATTATATAATATATTAAATATTAATATTATATATATATTAATATATTTCTGTGGAAGCTGTGATAATTTTTTTCCAGGATTCTTTGTTGAATAAAAATTTCAAAAGAACAGCATTCATGTAATATTGTTAATCTCACTTTTGAACAATGTGATGCATCTTTGCTAAATATTATTATTATTATTATTATTATTATTAAATCTCACGACTTCAATTTTTTAAAGAATAGTGTATTTTTTTTTCATAAAGAGACATAAAATTAGACAATTTTTGACTAGCACTTATTTGGCCTTGGAAGAATATAATATCTTATATGAGTTATTGTTGAAATCTATTTACTTTCCTTTTCTGAAATTCTAGAAGAGACACACTTGGGATTACAGTAGCCTTTTTCTCAGGGGGGGGGGGAGCATCATAGAAGCAAGAGACTTAAGTAACAGCTCCATTTATTCACCATTTAAACTCACTTAAGAGAAACAAAGATATTAAAGAGATCTCATTTGTGATTTTTCCCCCCTTCTTATAAGAGACCTTCATCCACAGGTTAGCAAGGCTTTAATTGAAAGTGTTGCTCAATAGATAATACACAATGACAGTGAGAATCACTCTTAAACTAAGCTTAATGATAACTACTTAGAACAATGGCTCGCTATCTGTCAGGGAAACTGCGACAAACCTTGAGACAAACCTTTAGCTGCTTTCTCACACTCATAATAGGGCTAATTACACTGTTTCTCAGCCAAAGAAGCTAAATATTCAACTAAAATTGATTCTGTGCAGCTTATTTGGACCAACCTATTGTATAGCTGCATTACTTATGAAACCTCAAAAGTGAGTAGGTGAAACTCAATTCAGTGGGTTTCTAGAAACCCTTCAGGCAGTTGTGTGGATAAAATGATGCTCTTCAATGTTCTGAAATGTTCTTCATGAGCTACTTTCTCTATCGTTACTATCGTTCTTAAATATGAAGTTAATCAATCTTCATCAAACAAATCAAATGAAGCCGTTAGTGTAAATGCGGGCTTGGGTAATCGGTATACAGTGGCAAACATAAGCCAGCAGTGCTTGGCAATTCAACATGAAATCCGCCGTAATCTGATTGGTTCCACTGTGTCGATAAGACAATGCAGCAAACAGGCTTATATTCCCACCCATGTTATTGAGCCTCTAGTCCCACCCTCATACAGTCAAATGAGTCAGTGTACAGTTCTCATAGAAAGCAATGGGTTTCGTTGAATTATGGTGATTTTGGGCCAAAATACTGTATATAGTAGAGTTTTTTATTGGTAGAACTAATTAAAAAAATGTATTCCTGTAGCTCAAACAGCAGAGCATGGTTTAGAAATAAAATGCCTTTCATAGCGTACTAGTATTGAAAAAAAAAAGGATTTCATAGGGTCCTACAGAGGTAATGGGTTCAATTCCCAGGGAATGCATGAGCTGAAAAAAGTATACCTTAAATGCAGTGTAAGTCGCTTCAGATAATAGTAGCTGCAAAAAGTATAAAAATAAATGCTGATGTCACCAGTGAAAGTTCATAAGGCTGTTTATTATTCTATACCGACTGAATATGATTAAATGGTTAGTTGCATTTTTTAATTTCCATTCATGATTGTTTTCCCCTGCTGTTTATAATCAGACCTGCAACCCATTTCTGGGTCACTACGCACCAGTTGAGAAACCAATTATATAATGTATCTGTAACTGCACAATGTTTTGTCTCTCTAGCGTCCAGGAGAGCTGCGCTCGATGTATGAGTTAGACCTGAGGAAATCCCCAGTCTTAATTGAAAGGCAGAATTTCCGAGAAATGTGAGGAGTGGAGTTAGTAAACGATGGTGGGGAATTATGGGTCAATAAAACAGCGTTCCACTGAGACTTCCAGCAAGGGTCAAGGGCACTGCATTGATTGTCTCAACATAAAGCTGAGTAGAGTGTGTGTGTGCGTCTCTTTATGTGCCTCCAGAGATGCACACAGAGAAAAGTGCACAACAGTGGAACGTACAAAGACCATATTAAAGATTCAAAGAACTTCTAGGAATGACTGTAAGCATTAACATCAAATTATCACGCATTATGCTCCAGATACAACATAGAATCATTTAAAAATGATACTTTATATTGAATACTTAAGGAATAAAAAGAAGAATGTAATGTACAGTATGTGTGGTCATTTTTTAAAGGGGTCATGAAATGCAGTTTCAGATTTTTCTGATTTTTCTGAAGGTTAATTTATAAAGTTTGCCAATTTGTTGCACCAAAGATAAAATTATAATTTTTCCTCATTTTCATTCTGTGAAACACATAATTTTCAGGGTGGAGTGGAGTTAGTAAACGATGGTGGGGAATTATGGGTCAATAAAACAGCGTTCCACTGAGACTTCCAGCAAGGGTCAAGGGCACTGCATTGATTGTCTCAACATAAAGCTGAGTAGAGTGTGTGTGTGCGTCTCTTTATGTGCCTCCAGAGATGCACACAGAGAAAAGTGCACAACAGTGGAACGTACAAAGACCATATTAAAGATTCAAAGAACTTCTAGGAATGACTGTAAGCATTAGCATCAAATTATCACGCATTATGCTCCAGATACAACATAGAATCATTTAAAAATGATACTTTATATTGAATACTTAAGGAATAAAAAGAAGAATGTAATGTACAGTATGTGTGGTCATTTTTTAAAGGGGTCATGAAATGCAGTTTCAGATTTTTCAGATTTTTCAGATTTTTCTGAAGGTTAATTTATAAAGTTTGCCAATTTGTTGCACCAAAGATAAAATTATAATTTTTCCTCATTTTCATTCTGTGAAACACATAATTTTCAGGGGCGTTACCTCTTGCAGAATCGGAAGTAAACGCCCATTGCTATGATTGGCTAATTTCATCATGCCGTATATATGCTCTCCTTTACTGCATGTTGTGTTTGATTCTCAAGATGGAAAGTGCTGTGATAGAGCCGTGTGTTTAAACGCGAGGCATAAGAAATTAAAAGATGACAGCAGTAAAACACTAGCTACACATTGTGTGAAGGGTTAATATAGCAATGGTAAAATAAACTAGAAATATTCAATTCAAGCAAGTATTTATGGTCCAGGTATATAACAGTATTATTAGCAACACTCAAACAATGATACACTTGGAGTCTTAAACACTGACATTTATTACAAACACAATGCGAGATTAAATATAAATGTACTTACCTACGTTGCCTCCAAGGACAAAATGCTTGGCACTTCCGTTTCTTTCAATAAAAGGTATTGTGTAAAGCATAATTAGAATAATTCACAAAAACAGCCCATTGTGAAATATGAAGAACAAACAAAAATGTTTCAGTCACTCGGGCACGTCATTAAAAATGCATTAGAAATACATGGCATTTCTATGCCAGAAATGCCATGAATTTCTAATGCTCAGATCTTTATGAAGTCTAGGCAAAGATTTTGGAGGTGTAGTTTACATCCACTGACAGAACAATGTCTAAGTTTTACTGTCTTACTCGACATCTTAATCTAACAGCAGTATTGTTCAGAACACACCTCCTTGATTACATACGACGATGACGTATGTTAAGGAGAATCATGACGTCATAATGCTCCCTATTTCAAATCCGGACGTTTCATGATGGTAGAAAAGAATAATTCATATTTTAAACTGGGGAGATGGATTTGAGTTGTGATGCTTGCGGTATGTTTTTGTTGTGGAGTACCCTCTTACATTTTGATTCTCCACTCATGACTATTTTATATAAAAAAAAAAACAGTTTCCAGATCAGACTTGCCATCCCGCAAAACCTCTCAAGTGTCAGAACCATGTCAGGCATCGTCTCGCAGACAAAACAGATGATTTGTTCTATTAATGTTCATTTGTCGCTTGCTACATTTGACACCTGACACCCATAAAGTCTGATTCATCACCCTCTCTCCTCTCTGTTACGATTCCACTTCCCCCCAGTGAAAAATGAAACCATCAGTTAATTACTCTGTTCATTTAACACGCTCTCTCGCTCCCGTTCTCTCTCTGTTCACATTGTCTTGATTAAGGCAGACACCGGAGCATATAAATGTGCTTCTCATAAGGCAGTTCTCCTAACAGCTGTCAGTCATTGCTCCAGTAGACACTGAAGGGACAATGTGGGACTCGTTTGGATGGCTAGACTTTCCGTTCATTTCTCCTTTCGGTTTTGGGCAGCCTCAATGGGATTTTATGGTTTTGTTTGAGACTTTGAATGTGCTGATTTGCTAGTGTGAGATTAGGTTGGGGAGATGGAGACACACCTATAGATGAAGCCATAAAACACATGCCATAAAGTTTTCCATGGGGTGTAATAAAAGGTGTTGTTTCTTATTAAATTTGTTAAAAACTATATTTTTATATTTTCTGAAGAAAATGTGAGTGGTGCTTTCCAATGCAAAACTTGATACTATGGTTGCAGGGTTAAAACTGCAGCTTGGGGCCCTGATATACACATGACAAGTTAATTTTCATTATAACTTGATTCTGTCACACCTGTTCATTCTTCAATTTTGAGTGTACCAGAGCCTTAACTAAAGTTTAAGTGTCAATTTAGTATAATTGAGATACTATTGTAGTTTTGAGTTTTTAATCTTAATATTTTTCAAGTTTTAGTCATTTTAGATTTTTTTTATATCTGAATTTTTATTTAAATTTTTGTATCTATCTATCTATCTATCTATCTATCTATCTATCTATCTATCTATCTATCTATCTATCTATCTATCTATCTATCTATCTATCTATCTATCTATCTATCTATCTGTCTGTCTGTCTGTCTGTCTGTCTGTCTGTCTGTCTGTCTGTCTGTCTAAGAGAGATCATTGTGAAATCAGATCAAACAAAGGTCATATACAGATAATCTTCACTGATGTAATACCTACTGTCACCTATCATGTTTTAATACCATGTCTCTCCGCAGCCCCTCAGAAGAGTGACATTTTCTGTGGTGAGTCAGGCTCCTGATCAAGGCTGCTATGATAGTGGAGTGGAGGACTCTGAGACCCCAAGCAGCAAGAGTTCCTCTGGACCCAGACTGGGATCTTTACCGCTGCCTGAGGATGGATATGAAAGGACAACACCAGAAGGGAGCGTAGGCGAAGAGGAGCATGTGGAAAATGGTAAAAAGCCATCTGTGAGAAAGGTCTGAGACCACTAGTGAAAAATGAAGCGCATATGTTGTTTTTTATTCTTCTTTTGCTTTACCCAAAAATCAAAAACTCAAAAGAAGATATATTGAAGAATGTTGGTAGCTAAACAGTTTTGGTTAACTTTAACTTCCACTGTATAGACAAAACACACAAATACAATTCTCAGAATAGCTTATTTTATGTTCCACATAACAAAGACAGTCATAAAGTTTTGGAATATTATGAGGGTGAGTAAAATATGACAAAAATTCCATTTTTGTCTGAACTATACCTTTAATGACAGCAACACTAGAGTTGCATGAATATTAGTCACGCATATATGGTATTATATTATTTTATGCACCAATACCACTTTTTCCAGAACTGACCGATACCGATACTTTTATTTTTTTTTGTACTTTCTGTGTACCGATACCTGTATTTTACTGGTTTACAGGTAAACATACTTGGTACAGAAACTAAAAGAATATGTATCTGAGTTGGCTTAGTTCATTTAGTAAATAGATACTTCCTTCAGTTATTTTCACACTTAAGTATGTCCATTAAAATGTATTCTAGAAGCTTTCGTTTCTTTCACTATTCTTCTTCTTCTTCTTCTTTTGCTCTATGGTACTTTATACTTAAGTTAATACCACATTAGAGCTGCTCCATTGCAGTGGCTCAGTACTGTAATCACGAGTACAGGTGTGCAGTATCGGGCCCTATGAAATCACACACACTGATACATGTCTATATCCATTTAGTGCAGATGTGTGTAAAAGTGTATGTACTGTATAAACGGACATTTTGGCATACCTGAGGCTTTTTTGAGAAACAGTTTTTTGAAAGTAGACGTAGCATTTTTGCCTGCTTGATCTTCAACTAGTATATAGACACTGGAGTGTATTTGAATAAATAATCATCTGTGTAAAATGCATACACAGGGGCATTCAACAATGTTTAGGTACATCTATACTATAAATGACAAATATACTGCATCTCATCCCTTTTAAGTAGAGCTCATATTTAAACCAAATTTCTTTAAAGGCAACACTGCATGAGGATAAGCTAATGCTTATTTTGTTAAATAAGAATCAGATTTTTGTTGTTTTTGTGAGGATATAACCTCTTTATGAGGGGAGTGTGCGAGTTTGTGTGTGAATTCAAAGCGAGGTTGGTGAAGAGCTAGATCTTTAATTTAGCCAGAAATGACACACACACAACGTAGTTGTTCAAATACCTGTATTACAGTTCAAACAAATCAAGACATTTTAATGAGTCTTTGTTAATCTTACGGCAGCCTCGTCCAGGTCTTGGCATCTCATCAAGCCTCTGGAATTTTCAAATTGAGTTTAGTAATGGCTTTTTTTAGCTCTTGATATGCATTGTAAGTACAATCTGATTGATAAGAACAAACTGACATGTATTTCACCAACTCTCAGGAAACTTGAGATTCAGTGTGTGTTCTCGGCCCATTATCAACGCTGAGCTAGTCTGCGCTCCGAATTTGTCCTCACAAGGCCATACTGTTGGCGAGCCTGTTTTCTCGCACTTTCCCCTTTTCAGACTCACCGTACCTGTCAATGGTGTCCGAAGTGTGCGTGTTTCCTGGCTTCCCACGGTGAGGATTGCTGAGGAAAGTGATGAATTTAGGCCTACTTGAAAACGGATGCAGAGCTTGCTTTGCTTCTGCTTAACAGGGTTTTGGCCTACAAAAAAATGCATCACTCCTGCAGCACTCTATTCACCTTAAAGGGACAGTTCACCAAAAAATGAAAATTCTGTCATCATTTACTCACCCTTCCTGTGTAAGTTTCTTTTTGAAGAATGGTAACCAAACAGTTGATGGTAGCCATTGACTTCTATAGTATGGGAAAAAATACTATTGAAGCCATTGGCTAAATGTTTGGTTATCAACATTCTTGTTCAACAGAAGAAAGCATACAGGTTTGGAGCAACATAAGTAAATGATGACAATATTTTCATTTTGGGATGAACTATCCCTTTAAGTTTTGGTCACATTTACCATGATTTGGAGAATTCTCACTGGCAAAATGCAGTCATTTCAATAGGAATCCAGCCAATAAGGAATTTTGCGTGAGGGCAAAAGATGCCACGAGTTGGTCACACAGATTCACCCATGTTGACCAACAGAAGCTGCTTGGTTTGAAAGCGACCGCTGTCAGCTGTGCTTCATACATCACTGCAGTATTGGTAACTGACAACTGACTTTTTTTGGCTGTGAAATTTCACTATTGTGACCACAACTTTACAACACTTTAACAATGTTATTTGCATATGTATTGCATAATAAATGTTTTGTCCATGGTTAAGTTGCCAGATGCATACGCTAGTTGCAATTTGTTAAACATTTTAACTGCATCATTAAATACTGAAGCTAAACACAGCATGTGAAAGTTTCATCTGTACAAAGTGCATGTATATTTAATGGGCCAACCACTATTTATTTCAGTTTAGTTTATGATTAGATACCTGATGCCGACGACTAGTTGTTATGTCTGGACACTTTCACAATGTATCCATGGCATTGTATTTCAGGGTTTGCACTAAAAAAGTTTTTCTCTCAAAACTACATACAGATTTTTTAAATTAATTTATTTATTTTTTATTATTATTTCTTACTGTTAATATTCATTTTGTGGAGTCTTTATTTTCAAAATTCCCCCCGAAGCCCAGTTAGAAATCCCATGGTCTTTAAAGTTATACCAAGGTACTGGCTGATGTAATAGAATATCTAACATTTTGAGGAACTTGCCCCTGAAGGCAGTTTCAATGAGCCAGAGTTCTTTGAAGAACAGAGCTGCTCAGGGAGGATGATGTTTTTCAAGGATTTCTTCGTCCCAGTGGAATATAGAAATGCTGCTCTAGTTATGGAAACAGCTCACTTACTTTTAAAATTTTTATACTTCTCCACCATTTTCAGTGTCCCCTTCATTTCCAATAGCTTTAGAACGTCAGGGATGTCCAAACATTTCTCACTCCAGTTAACATTTTGTTCGCTCTGTGGATAGTCTAAGCAATCTGGAAACATGCCTAAAGTAGAATGAATATCAAACCAAGCATGCATGTTTCCTAAATTCAAATGTATACATGTATTTGGTTTTTAAAAATAGTACAGTTGTCTACTGCTTGCTCGTGCACTGTTAAATTTCCAGAGTTACATTGGATTTAGATCGGGCCCCATCATGGGCTTATGTTGTGTTGACACTTTGAGTGTCTTTGAGACTTGCATATTAAATCTAGCACTTTCTACAAGACAAATGCTTGTGGCCCTGTACACATTTAAAGACATTTTACTGTTGTTTATTTTGTGCACACTGCACTATTTTGAGTAACTTATCACACATTACCAGATCATTCTCCTGTCAACTGTATTTATCTGTCTAGATATTTTGCTTTCCATTCCTGTTACTTTTAGTGCAGTGGTTCTCAAATCACAGGTAGACCCTAAATAATTTAAGTTAGTAGAACTAAAGAAATAAAATAATTATAATTCACAAAAAGGGATGTCATGTTATATAATTGTCTAAAATAATTTACATATTGACCTCCATTTATACTCCTCTGTCAGTTTACATGAAAACCAATGTCTAGTTGCCCACTAACTGTGTTGACAGAGATTTTGTTGACCATGGTAGGTGTTCATTAATTGAAGGCCATATTATCATGTTGAAGTTTATTCAGGACTAAATACATGGGAAAACCATTGGGTTTAAATTAGGGAACACTATTACACAACTAGTTGCTTATTAGCATACATATTACTAGCAGATTTTAGCGTGGTATGGATATGATAATGTGAGTACTGATGAACTGAGTGAGTATTTACGTAAGACATACTGTTGCTGCGCAAATAGCATATAATAACCCAGAGCAGATCTATACAGGTGGAGCTGGGGAAGGTAGAGGGTTTCAGAGGAATTTTGAAAGCACGCTGCGAAATGCTGAATAAATGCTAACTAGCCGTTTAAATGTAAAGCAGCAAGCTCATTGCCTGCATATACAACATGAACTAATGATCTTGTGCAAAGTATTTTAACGCAGTGAATATCATTAGTTTGTGTTAAAGAGCAGGTCATATGGTTTTTACAGTGTCCTAATATTGTGTTGGAGCCCTCTACAACAGGTTTAAATGCATTTAAGGTCAGAAAACACTGTAATTTTCCCAGAATATACATTATACATTATACATAGTCATTTGTCCATGATTTCGAAACGATTCGTTCGATTCAGTTCTGAGCGAAATGTCTGTAAACCCCTCCCTTCTATAAGCCTACTCTGCTCTGATTGGTCAGCTGGCCAAGCCTGTTGTGATTGGCACAAAGAGGAGCACTTGAGCAAGTTAGCGAGCGCTGCCATCTGTGTTGCCAAGTCCGCGGTTGTTTTTGATGTTGCGGGTTGTAGCGACCCCAATAACGTCATATTTAGGCACTGGAATGCGAATTAACCAGGGGAACCCCGACTGAAAGCGTGTATTTTACACCCCAGAATGCAATTTGGGGTGTAATTTGGGGTCACACGATTGGGCTAGTTTTGAGTAGCAATTGGGCGGGTTTTGTTGTGACAACCTGGCAACCCTAGCATGCACCTTTACATAAAACAATAATATAGTGCTCCAATCAGTTCTTAAAATAATGACATAAAAACATTTTGTTTAATACTTATGCAAACGAATCTTGCCCACAGCTAAAGTTTAGCTGCTAAACTGTAAACACGTAACAAAACAATAATGGTAGATACCTTAGCCGAGTGCTAACGTGACTAACTGATGAAACAATACAGTTTGAAAACCAAAATATGTCTGACTTACAGTAATGTCTGAAGAATGACAGACAAAAGGCGCTCCGTGTCTTAACCTTTAATTATAACGCAGAACAGCTGTATCACATGCGCACCACCCTAACTAACTCGTTTCTCTCTACCAGGTCTTTTACTCTCTGCATTAACCCTATAACTACATAAACAGCACTTTCACAATGATTATACACTACATCACTGGGTCCCATCATACAGGCACATGGCTTCTCCTACCATTGCTATGCTGATGACACACAGCTCTATCTCTCATTTCAACCAGACGATCCAATGGTAGCTGCACGGATCTCAGACTGCCTGGCGGACATCTCAGCATGGATAAAAGAACATCGCCTACAGCTCAACCTGGCAAAGACTGAGCTTCTTGTCTTCCCTGCCACTCCAACTCTACAGCATGATTTCACCATCCAGCTAGGTTCTTCTACAATTACCCCATCAACTTCGGTCAGAAATCTTGGTATAATCTTTGATGACCAGCTGACCTTCAAAGACCACATTGCAAAGACTACTCGATCTTGCAGGTTTGCATTGCACAACACAACATTGGATCAGGCCCTTTCTAACGGAGCATGTTGCATAACTTTTTGTCCAGGTCCTTATCATTTCTAGGCTGGACTACTGCAGTGCTCTTCTGGCTGGACTTCCATCAAGCGCAATCAAACCTCTACAAATGATTCAGAATGCAGCGGCACGACTGGACTTCAACGAGCCCAAAAGAGCCCATGTTACACCTCTCTTTATCTCCTTGCGGCTCGCATCAAGTTCAAGACATTCATGCTTGCATATAGCACCCGCCTACTTCCACTCACTACTACAAATCTACATCCGCTCCAGAAGTCTGAGATCCGCTATAGTGAGTGACACCTCATGGTACCATCACAGAGAGGCTCAAAATCACTTTCCAGAACATTCTCGTTCACCATTCCTTGCTGGTGGAATGATCTTCCCACCCCTATCCGGAATGCTGAATCCCTGACAATTTTCAAGCGACAGCTGAAAACTCATCTCTTTCGAAGCTACTTGACTTCATCATAAAAA